TTAGGTAAACAAAACTATTATAATCTGTAGCAACTGTTGCATGAGTACAAAAAGGGTTCACTTGGCAAAAATTATAGTAAAAACTTAAGTTTTTTGGATATAGACTAAAGATTTAACCAAAATAGTCTTGATTATTAACTATTAAATAAATACCTATTTTGGAACTTAATCGACTCAATTAAGAATAGTTTTTGTTATATATTTAGTGTATATGTTCTCTGTTCCCGAAAATGTAAATAAAAGATAACTATTTTCAATGTAATTATATATTAACTGTTATAATTAACTAAAGTAGTTTGCGTCACTAAGAATATTTTTTAATAAATGTTCTCAAAATTTGAAATAATATTACTACTATTCTCAATATATCCAAAAGTTTACTGCACGTTTTTCATGCACACTTCGTATTAATTAATATATATATTATAATATATAATTATTATAAAACTTCTAATTGTTTAAACATTATTTAAAGTTATTTCTCAATATTGTGAAATTACTTAAACAAATCCTTCGTATTAACCAATCAATAGAGCAAATATTTTCCTTTAGTTAATTACAAATTTTCAAAACCATAGCAACTGTGATTACTCGCGTGTACTGTGTTAATTTAAAACGTTAATTATTTCGCAAAATATTTGATTTGAAAACAATACTTTTTAGAAATACATTTTTTTTTTAATTTTAAGTAATTGTATCAAAGCCACAACATGTTTTTGCAACAGCCACAGCACAACATCCTTATTATTGTTTTGTTATTCCAAAACCCCGATAAATAAGATTTATGGGCAACACAATATGCCAGGCAACAAAGAAAACATATTTAAGGCCCAAATTAAAAACAACTTGATAGTCATTATTTCGCCGTGTTATCAAGTGTCAAAAAAGTTATAGGTTTTTATATAACAAAAAATTCCCGAATATGAGTAAAGTCTCTCGCGCAGGTCTTTGTTCTAAATTTATAATCATGTTAAATTGTCAAAAATATTTATTCACACACTTAGTTATTCTAAAAATAGTGAGTGTTTTGTTTACAAATTGAATGCACGTGCCGTTATCAATTTTGACGTACGGCTGCTGCTACAGATTGCCGCTTGCTGTCGTTAGGTTAAACAATAGCTGATCTGCAATTCAATTACCCAGCAGATTACAGTGGTTTGTTTGATATTGAGTGAGCCTCGCTGATTACTTAAAAAAAAAAAAATACTTGCACAATCGTATGAGTTTTATTTATCATAATTTTTTTCAACTTTTTTCCGAGTTCGTCTTTTTGACAGCTGTTATTTGATACACAGTGCGGCTTGCTTATTCATAACACACAAACTTACTCCGGAACAACGTTTTCAAATTGTGTAAATAATGGTTCGGTTTGCGAACGCATCGCGCGCTGCGTTCAATATTCAGTCGACATATGTTAATCACCCGGTAATTCGAGCAACAATGGATCGGTTTCGCACCTCGTTTACTTAAGTGGATAATGCGCATCCTCAGGGACAGCATACAGGGAAAATAATATTTGGTGCGTTATTGCCCACATACGGTCTCAAACAGCTGCAAAAAGTGTTTTAAAATTGTACTTCTCGGCTGAAACTTATTCGACCCAGCCGCGGCAGTCACTTGCTCGAAGTCATTTTTAGAACATAATGGTAACCCTTTTTTTATAATAAAGCAAAATTCTTGGTCATAACATTAAATTATATGCGTTTTATTTCTTCTTGAAACCCACATGTCCATGTCCAGAAAAAAAACACCCTTTGTAATACCCTTAACAAAACTTGATTTTAATCGGTCAGTTTGTATGACAGTTATGTGCTATATGGTTCGATCTGAACAATATATTCGAAGATTGTACCACTGCTTTGGACAATAACGATCAAATAAAAGAGTTTTTCCTGCAGGGGCTTTTTTGTTTTGACCGTTCAGTGGCAGCTATATACTACAGTGGGTTAATATATTTTTGTGAAAAAAAGGAGGTGTGCAAAATTTCAGATCGATATATTAAAAACTGCAGGATTAGTTCGCGTATATACAAACAAACAGATGAACATGACTAAATCGATTCAGCTGGTCACAATGATCATTTGTATATATATTTAACAGGGTTTCAGACGTTGTCTTCTGTGTGTTGCAAACTTCGTGGAAAATTTCATATATCCCGTTCTGGATATAAAAAGTTTTTTTTTATACAACCGCTGCTATTTTACGTACCCTATAACCCAAGTTTCAAAGTTTACACTTCCGGCTGTCCGATAATGTTGTTGTATTGCTACAATTTGCATAGCAATAAACGCTACTGTTAGACAAAGAAATAATTTCGCACGACTTGATCCGAGTCAGGCGCTTAGTGCCACCAAAAAAATATTTGCTTTTGGTAAGATTATTTGCTGCCGCTTAGAGAGCTGCTAAAAATAGCAGTGTTTTCACCAAGTCGCTAAGCTATAGTGTCAAGTCTATCTATTTTTGAACACTTTAATTTTATTTATAAATGTGTTAAGTATAAAAATAAATCCCGGCTTAAAATTAGCTCAAAGTTATGAAAAGCATATGAGTCGCACATTGCACGTTGTCTATACATGAGTCTATCACCTGAAATATCTACCTTGGAATATTCCCAATAGTTACACGCAGTCGCGGCGTGTTTGAGAAGATGCATTAAGTATCTGTATATGCGATATACTTGTATATATATATTTCATTAAAAAGGTATCACTTTCTGTGACTTTCAGTAGTTTACCGATTGCCGCATCAATCAAGGCGTTTACTTTGCTTAATATGGGGTACTTGCAATCAATCAATCAAGCTTGACGCAGCGCATTCTATTTAATATTTATCTATTAAATATTTGCGCATTTCATACAATATCTTCATGGAAATAATGAATTCTTATAGTATTGCAGAATAGCTGGCAAAATCAATTAAACTATAAATTGATTGAATGAACGTTGTTATGCCATTGAAAGTGCCAAAATTGGCATGTGACTTAAGACAAATTAAAAATGTTTGCAGTTTTCTATTATAATTAGATTTTTATTTCGAATAGTTGATTTTAAATTCGTTATAGATAATATATATATAATATGACTTTTCTTTTCAACTTGGCAACACTGCTGATGGTAACCGATCTTGCTTGCCGTTCCCAGATATTTCTCTGAGATAGGTAAGGTGGAACTTGGATAACCCAACTGTAATTGTAGTAATTAGAAGACCAGTATTTAATATGGGTAGGGAATATATATTGTCAGCCAGTATAGTTCTTAATTTTAAGTATTAGAAACACTTATTTTTTAAGTTCATTTCCTAATCTGCACAAAATCACTAACAGTGAGCTCAAAGCTAGTCAAGGCGTGCATGATCTTACTAGCAATAGCATCAAGCTACTTCCATATTAAGCTTGGCTGGCTGCCTGACCACAGCGGAGCTTGCCAGAAAGAGCACACTTACCAAAATGCAAAGGTTTCAGTCGGGCGGTGGATCTATGGATTTCACGCGAGCTCAGCAAACGTTGGTCAGCAACAAGTACTTGTTGGGTTGCTAAAGCCTTCTGGTCCAGAGTGGAACGTAAAAGTTTCATTGAACTGCTAGCTCTTAGCAAAGTTCACATCGCCGCAATGATAGGTGTTCTAACTGCACACTGTCCCATTGACATTCACGCGGTGAGGTTAAAGATTTTGAAAGACTCAATTTGTCAAAACTGTAATGAGGATGATGAGGTAGAAACATCTAGAAACATTCTCCTTCACTATCCAGCTTTCGTTAGACTAGCATCTCGCTTGCCATACTTTCTACGGTTAATATTAGCCGCCTCAATAAATTTGTGGCAGGGTGTAGGCGCCTTTTTGATCCACCTCTAGGAGTTTTGGGCATCACAATGGACGTGCATCTCTAGCTGTCTATGTGTGATTATTCGTGACCTCACAAAAAACAGTCTATTTACCTAACCTGTGTTAATTTAGCTTAATTTGTCATACACAATTTTTTATTTGAATTGAGCTGAACTATAAATTTTGAAACGGTAAACAAATTTGCCATACGAATAATCCCTGACTTCATATTGAGATTAAGTCCATACTGAAACAGTAAGGATATTTTCAACAATAAACAATTATCACTAAAAAAATATATCTTCCTTACAGACCCCTTTTGATGACGAGTTGTTTCATTCATTGGCAGTTAAATTACTAATCAAAAGCCTCTTAATGCGAATATAATTTAAGTCGGCTGGTACCTTAAAATTCGAGTTCAAGGCCGCTATATAGGTCTCCCCTAGACAAAAGTCACCTATAAATCCTTGGACAACTTATACCCCTATATATGTATGTATACTTACATAGTAGGTGACTTTTATCTAGGGAATCATATTGCTTTTCATAAAAATTTTGTCGATACCCTTTTAGTTTTTGGAAATTTTTGTAACTCTTATTTTCATCCAGTCTTACAATGTTCTAAAAAAATGCCATAATTGCCTAAAACTATGCAATACATTTGTGGACTTAAATATATACGCCTATATATACAATTATAGCTGTTTTATATAGTTTTGTATTTACAATTTATTTAATTCCGCCTTAGAGCTAAGCAATAATGCATTTTTAGGGTAAAGTTTGACTCAGTAGACATTCAGCGTGACATCACAGCACCATTGGCGACAAGAAAAACATTTTATTAATATTAACTCGCACACCAAACGACAAACAATTTGAAAGCAAGCAATTAAAAATAATAATAATACAACACAACAAAAAAAAAATGATATTAACAAAGTTTAGCTTATTTTTTTTTTTTTTAACTGCAATATTAGTTGCATTATTCGCTTCAAAAGAGTTTTTTTTTTGTATTAGCTAAAGCTTTGTTTATTTATAAATTAGTTTTAAACGAAACTGATATTTGTTGTTCTTTGTAAACCCAACGCAAACATTAGGTAAAATGTTCTAATTATTTTTAGTGTTCATATAATATTAATATGTGTATATACATATATATATATAGTATATAATATTTACCGCATGCCGTCATCTCTGCCGGGAGTGTGGCTGGTATCGTAAAAGGACAATTTCCGATTGGCAAACACTAGATTTAACAATGGTGCGGCGCGTAGGCGTTTCTGCAAAAGACAGAGGAAATTACAATAATGATGAAATGCAATTTGATATCTACAAACAACTGTATAATATATACATAAGTACATACATATATATATTGTATATATTATATAAAAATAATTATATATGAAAACCCTTGTAGACGGAATTGGATTAAAAATATATGTTTCATTATACATGTACTTATGCTTGTCTATGTCTGTCTGTGACGCAGAAGAAAATTGCTTATGTTTTCCTTGCTTTCCTCCCTCTTAACTACTTATTTGTGTTTCTTGCTTTGTAATTTGTAAAATGAGCAAAAGTGTTGCGAGTCGCGCCCAGTCTAAGCCGATTACCGATTACGGTAATTTGTGCACATTACCGCCAGAGGTTAAATGTCAAATAGGTCATCGTCGTTGTCTAGCAGGTTTGTAATGCAAGTAAAAAAAAAAATGTCATGAGATAAAAAATATTTTTTTGGCGCAACTAAGTGCTTTGAAAGAAGCAACAAGTGCAGAGTGGTTGAGTCGGTGAAAATTATATAAAATAAGTAAAAAAATATTTTTTTTGCCAATTTATATTTAGATAAAATTTATATAGCTGTAAGGCTGTCTAGTATTTTTTTCATTTATACAAGTTATTTGTTTGATTCGTAATTCTTTAAAGTTTGTCGAATTAGGTAACTATGTTAGTTTCTGGCTGAGACTGATCTGCTTGTGGTATATCAAAAATGCTAAACGTATTTTGTAGTAATAAACTGTGTTGCAATTGTATTCAATGAAGAAAAAGCCCTCAAGACCGTTAAAACACTAAAAAAGTGGATTTGATATTATGACGATTATATGCTTGTCTTGGCGATTTTTTCAAAACGCAGATTGGAATAAATACCAAAAAGTAACCACTATGAGCGAAAAAAGCTTTGGATATTATTTGAATATATCACTACCAAGTGGCGGAACCACGTGGAGACTAGGGTGTCAATCAGAGATTTTAATTCAAACTCAGAAGAATTTTCGAAGTAATATCAAGATTAAAAATATGTTGGAAGAGAAACCCCCCAGAAATAAATTCTGGATCTGCCACTGTCACCACTTTAAGGCTGTGTGGTATTTAAATTAGGTCACATACAATTTTTGAAAATATTTTTAGGGGTTTACTTGTTTAGTTGTTGAAACAAGTTTTGAGATGACTGATTAAGATTTCAGGACTGCAATAAGTCTTAGCTGGAGGGGAGAAAACTAAAATAATTTTTTATAAGAAACTTGAGTTTACCATAGAACTCGATCTTAGATGCTTTCTTTCTACAGCTATTGTGAAATAAGTCCTAATTTAATCCGATAACAGATTTACACAGTTGATGGATTTTAAGCGAAGATTTCTCAAAAGCTCATTGTTTTGACAATAACTGCCAACATCAAAAAATTCTACCTAAATTACAATACATATTTCCATCCTTTCGTCATCCTCATATCGTTTGAAATCATTTTTACGCTTACTGCCAATTTGTTTACTGTCCAACAATTAAGTTAATTTGTCTATCATTCTTTTATCATTTTGCAATAACATCAATAATGAATCGATAAAGTCATCACATCAGACGGACGCTATTGTGTGCCGTTATGAGTGAGTTATGAATATGACAGGCGATAGCAGGAAGTATGTTATACATGCATATATCTATATAAAAGTACATGTATATATATATATATATATATATGTATCTATATATAGTACACAAGCACATGTAAAAACAAGCAACAACAATGTAACATTGTTCGATATTGAGTTATTAATACAAAATAAAAATGACGGATCTACATATATACAATTTAAGTTTGGACCTTCATTTGCTTGCTTAATTTCGCCTGGTGAAATAGAAAATAAAATTCAAGGCGAAGGGCAATAAAATCGTGTATATTTTATTATTGTAAAGGGTGTTTTTTTAGACACTTACTGTTCAAAAAGAAATTAAACGCATATAATGTTTTGTTATGGCCCAGAATTTAGTATTATGATTAAGATAAAGGTTTCCCATTATGTTTTAAAAATTATCGTCCTTATTATTAACTTTTTACAAAAATTGGAATAGTATGTCAGCAGTAACATAACGCGCCGAATATTCTCTTCCAAGACTTCTTCAGTCAAATATGGAAACTAAAGATTTGAACAACGAGACAAAGATTAGCAAATATTGATTAGAGGTATCTTCACGAAATTTAACACAGATGATTATTCAAGATATTGCTACAATCCCCGAAGAAATTGTTCAGATCGGACCATTATAGCCTATACCTACCATAAAAACTGACCGATCAAAATAAAAGCTGTTTGATAAATATCTTTTATACATAAGAATTAAATAAGCTAAACAATAAAAGCGTATCGGTTGTAAAACTTCTCTGATGAATTAACCTAATATTGAGAAATTCTTCAAAATTAGTTCAGTCTTCTTTTTTGAGTGTTCTAAAAGAGATTAGAAATATTCAGTTAGTTACTAAGTACTCAAACGAATAGGTTGTTCCATTATCTCATATACTTGTAGTATGTATGTTCTTAGCTTAATCGCAATAAAGTCCATCAACAAGTTCTTTCTTGTGCTAATTTCATGCGCAGCCAAATTTCACCACCTGCTCTATTGTGCGTTTTTATTTTGCACCAAGCGAAAATAGCACAAGGTAAAAAAATTGTGTGACTTAATATATAATATTTATCTGCAGTTGACATCAGTAAACAGCTACTAAGTGTTCTGCGGGTAGCACGTCGTGATAAATGAAATGAAAAATGCCTGGATTTCACAAACAATGAATGAGGTTTTAATCTGAATACTTACTCGTATATACGTATGTTTATATACATATATGTATGTACATAGTTATAAAAAATAAAGTCAAAATAAATTGAGTAGAAATTTGAAAAATTTTGAACCGACCATTTTTGTAAAAAATCTTCTTATGTTTTATATAAAGTGTTACACATTCACATGAGGTGCGAAGGAAAAACAACTTACATGTGTACATATATCAGTATAAGATTCGACTAAAAAACAGTTACTACAAAAACAAAAGATAAATGACAGCATGCAGCGAGTAGATGTCTAAATGTCAGTGTCAAAAGCTACACAAATAATTTATTTGGATTTTCTATATATATTCAATTTTTTTTAAACTTGTCCAAATACTCAAACAACAATGAGAGAGAAATAAAGGACACAGCTGAATGTATAATATAAATATTTTAAACAAATGTGCAAAGATCAAAGGGTAAAGTGCATTAATTTTTATAAACAGGATTCTGCGTTAGGGACGAGTTGACACTGAGTCTTTAAAGAGATGCAACTTATTAAAAAACAAACAAAACAAGAAGACACGTTAATTTCGGTTGCACCGAAGCTATAATACCCTTCACAAATAAATACAAATCATAATATTTTGATCGGTCAGTTTGTATGGCAGCTATATGCTATAGTGGTCCAATCTGAATTATATGTTCGGAGATTGTAGCGATATCTTGGCTTATAATCTAAGCCAAATTTCATAAAGCCATCTTGACAAATAAAAGTGTTTTCCACACAAGCACTTGTACTGATCATTCAGTTCGTATGACAGCTATATGCTGTAGTATTCCGTTCTGAACAATTTCTGTGGAGATTATACCGTTGCATTGAGTGACATTCCATGCCAAATTTCATGAAGATATCTCGTCAAATAAAAAATTTTCTTCAGTTTGTATAATGAAGAGTTTCATGATGACAAAAAAAAATGGCGCAAAATTTCAGATCGAGATATCGAAAACTGAGCGGCAGACAGGTAAATTTGGCTAAATCGACTCAGCTCGTCATGCTGATCATTTATAAATATATGTTGTAGGGTCTTCAACGTTTTCTGCTAGATATTATCGGTTCATGGTATAAAAATTATTTACCATTATTTGAGATATTTAATTTTATATATATTTTTTGTGAAAAATCTATAGTTTTATGCCAAAATTGTTAATTTTAATATATTATATTTCACAGTTTTATTGGCTTAAAATATTTTAAATACGTGGCAATAATTTTCTAAAATATTATATCAATTTATTTTAGTTTAAATGTTGAAAATATTGTAATATTTATATACATATATTTTTCAAATGTAATGATTACAAAAAATTAAAACGAATGGCATAATTTATCAAATTTTTAACTTCCCGCTAAGAAAATGGAAAATCTTCTAAAAATCGGGAAGATATTGGTTTCACCCCATTTTGCAAAAATCGAGTTCTCAACAGATCTCGACGTTCTGAGGGTCGAGGAAGCTTCCCCGAACATTTCTACGATGATGTCCGTATGTCTGTATGTATGTGTGGATGTATGTGTGTGTGTGTGGATGTATGTGACCCTCTTATAACTATTAAACTGCTCTACCGATTTGAATAAACTAAACGGCATTCCAAAGGGTTTCATTGCACTTGAATTTCGTGTAAGTTTGGACCCAATCGGACCAGTAGATTTCAAGAAATCTCAAAAATAAAAATTTTGAAAAATCGTTTCCAAACGACTTGACCGATCGACACCAAAAACTAATCAGTTCTAAACCTTGAAGAAACACATCGTTTGCCGCAAACCGGGTCGAAATCGGTTGATTTACTTGCTAGATATCGAAAACGAAAAATTTCGAAGAGCTCAAAAGCAGTGAAAAAAGCGAAATTTGAACGTTAGCGTATGAAATTAGAGGGAAGTTGCAGGGATGGCCCTTGAGGCCAACCGTTTTCCACATTTTTTATTTTGAACTCTAAATCGTTTAAAACTTATATATATTATTTATTAGCTGCTGTTTTTTATTTTTATTGACATAAATTTTTTATATATAAACAGGTGGCAATATTTCTAATATTGTTTACTATAATCCCTTTTTATATTCCTTATATATTCCTATGCTCAACATTTGATACTCAGTTTTTATAATTTCACTAGATCATAAATTTTTTTCATGTATTTGTATTTTTAATGATGGCAACCCTTAAAAAATGCCGCGATGTATAT